CTGGCGAAAAAAATAATTTATTCCTCTGCCCAGAATCGAACTCTGATAATACGAAACAAAAGTTGAACATAACTTTTCACCATCGTAACCATACAATAAGACATATTAATTAAATCTGTATCGAACATTTAGCATTATATTAATGATATTCGGGAGATTCAGCCAGTTCTGGTAAATAAAACTGATGTTTTGTGTTAATATAATTTTATGAACGTAAGCATCGACGAAATTCTTTTTGGAATTTGTTTGTATGACCTCAGTATTAAGTTACCAGTATTATGCGTTGTTATCACGGAACGCAGTTCCTGAAAGTGGTATGGAGACGTGACGTACTTAACGGTTATGGATTCACTCTGACAGGACAGCAGTAACAAAATCACTGTTGAAAGAATCGATCCGATATATGCCAGATCCGTATTGTACGTAAAGCCGGAATCGAACTCCATCAATATTCTCTTCAAGCAACTTGGTGTGTAGCATAAAATTTACAGCCTTCATTTGAAATACGAGAGAGAGTAAATACGTCACAAATGGATGTCAAACGTGATACTCGAACCTAGAAAAAGCATTTGTTTCCCGACATAACCTCCACCAACACTGATACACCTGTCGCATCGCTTTACCAGTGCGTCGAAACCCGCATCATAGAAATCTTTTGATTATCGACTCAGCCATTACCGCACCTCCGTTTCAACCTCTTCGTCATGAGCGAAAAGTTTACCTCCAAGGTGGCAATTTCTCGTCGCAGTTGTGAACCTCTTTAGGCGACAAACATTTCCACAATAAACAGAAAACATTTCTTTATAAATATCCTTTGTATTGAGTTCTTTGCCCACAAAAAAGATGTACAAGAGAATGTTGCTTTTCTATAGTACACTTCTCAAGCACTGTAGCCATTTTGACTACTGAAACCAGCCTCAGAACATGCGCATACGCGTCTGCTACCTAGAAGCTGGACTATGCTGCTACCAAATGATACAGTGTAGACTCTATTACCTCCATTACAGCTCTATTACTTCCAATTGTGATCTATATACCGATTCTCCCTCGTGTTATTTCAACAGGTTCAGTACGTAATGAATTATAAGGGAAGATTCTCCGACTTTGTGCATTGCGATTTTTAGATCGTGCTTATCTTTGCGACAGTAGATCTGTAACTGCAAATAATGAACATCATGATTAATCAAAAAACAAACTCAGTGGCCTGTAGTCCGCAAGCGAACTATACCGTCCAAGGGACCGCCGCTTGTCGGCGAAGTTAGTGCCAACTTTAGCGGATAGAGGGTGTCATGTGGTCAGCGCAACGAATCCCCACGGCCGTTAATTTCGATTTTCTAATCAAGTCTACAAAATTGCAGTAAACGCATCTGTAAAACATACATATTCCATTCAGAGCACAACCATTTTCTCTAATG